TGATATTTTATTTTTATACTTGACGAAAAAAGTGCATTAAAATGTACATTATATTCCGAGTTAGGATAATTCAATAAATCTCTTATAGTACGGTAAGTATATTAAATTGAAAATTACAATAATTTTTTTTTTTCGAAATCCAATAAATCATTAAATATATTTGAGTCTGCCTAGTGAAAATCCCGATTTTTTTTATCAGTGAACAACGAAAAAGGAAAGCTAAAACGGACATTACTATAGGACGTATTGTGAACGAAACAAAATATTAGCTTTTGTTATTACAGCTCCTTTTCGGTTTACAGGTTTTAATAATTCATATTTATAATATTAAAGGTGTATAATATTTTTTGATGATCCAGTTGCAGCTTCTCAGTGACTTTGGCGTTCTATAAACTTTAGTTTTAAGTGATACCTTAGTATTCCGATCAGCTAATTCAAACCCCAATCGATAATTAACTGCGAAATAGAAAATATAATATCATTCTGATATCGTATTTCACGTTCACCTCTCACAATTATTATATTACGCTATACCTACATCTAAACGAAATGTTGCTTTTTTGAGAGTTATTTAAAAAAAGTATAATTTCATTAAATTCGTATCCACACTGTACAATCTTTTTTAATAATTTTATTATAGTCCGTGTACATCTAACTGTAACTAGGTAATTGAGATTCATTACGAATTTCAGTGCTCTTGTTTTTTCGTTGGTAGTTTCAAGCATAAGTTATTATTATTATACACGGTTTATTAGACCACTATAATATTTTCAGCTACTGTGTGTATTTTAATTATAACAAAATAAAAAATTATTTTGTCATCTAACAATGGCTTTCATACGTTGTGTATAACCGTTCGTTTAAAATGTATATATATTTTCGATATCGCAGTTATATATTATTCGTGAATTAAACATAGGTATTAATACTTATTATTTATTATCATACTTTATAGAGCCATTTTCAGGCATTAGTTTTAAAAGGGCGTCGTTAAATGAAAAATAATATTATGTTGAATGATTGATGGCAATAAATCAGATTTGGTTTTTATTATATTTCGTGTTCAATTATTTTCTCATTTTTTTCTCATACATCTAGCAACCAAGTACCTACCTACCAACCTACCCACGTTTACCATTTTATTTCGATTCTCATCAACCACATATATAATATTGTAAAACGGTCTGTCGGTCCCGTGCAAATGCTTCGTTATACCATTGCCTTTTTACACATTTGATAATCGTTTTGCACTGCAGTGACCCGTAGATTTACCACCTTCTGTAGTGGTTTTTTAATTTCGGATTCTGTGTGAATGTATTGACTTTATAATGATGATGGTTTTTTTTTTTTTTTTTGAGTGTCTGGAAAAATTGTTCATAGTGAACAAAAAAAAATGCTTCAATTTGTAAGTTTAATATTTTTAGAGAGGAAAATTAATGTGGGTGTTAATTTGGAAGTTCAACATTAAGAAAACGAAGTAGCGTACATTTGAAAATAATTTGGAAAAATATAAAATTTGGGAAAAACAAGAATTTTCACTCAAAACCCGTTTACGGTAGTATTAATTTTCTTATTTTATTGCAATTAAAAAAACCAATAACCATACACACTCAACATATTCACAGTTATTATATTAGCAATTTAGCATTTTATAATGAATATGGCATAATTTCAAAATATTATGACTTTTTTTAAGCTAACTATAGACATTTTAAATATAATTTTTTTTTCAATTCTGAAAATATTTCCCTCGGTCAAAAACCTGGAAATTGTAATACAAGGTAATATTATCATACTTAAAAAAAAACCAAAATATTATAATTTTTAAACGCTTTTACTTTTTTTTATAGTTTTGATACATTTCTAATTTTTGGCTTTGGTTAATAAGCTTGAAAATATAATAAAATACTCGACATAAAATGTTCTTATAAGTGTTTAAAAATATTAAATGATGCAATTTCATATTGAATTATTTACCAACACCAAAAATATATTATGTTAGAGTATATATTGTGGGGTACATACTCTGACATACATTATTTATACTTATAACAAAGTATGATGTGAAAAAAATGTGGTAGTAAAAGGTTAGGGTGCGGTCAGATCTTCGAATTATAGACTGGCGCCATCGTCACTACCACATCTTTGAAAAGTTGATACAGCTGCTTCAAAATTAAGTCTTTTGGCCCGCCACTGGGCACTGCAGCTAATACGTGAATACTGCATACTGTATACTACTCAATACTCATGGTATTACCTAAGTTTAGTTGAACACCTGTTACACAACACCTATAGACGGCTATAGTACCTTTAGTACCTATATAATGTACCTATACATTTAATTTTATTATTATTTATTTAGCTACTTACCTAAGTAGGCACCTGATTAGTCAATTTCTGCTAGTAATGTAACAACAAATAAAAGACGAGTAAATCAATTAATTTATGATTTACTTACTTTTGTTAGATCAAGAAATAAATGAACATGCATTTAGATCTTTAACTGAATCTACGGTGAAAGAATTACTACCTACTAAGATAGGTTATAGATCTTCAGTATTGCGTAAGATAACTGATTTGAATAATCCTAAACTGACCAATTCAAATATTGCAGTAAGTATTAAAATAATCTATAAGTTTCTTTTTTATAGGTACCTATAAAAAATTATATTATTTATTCATTAATGTACATTACATTTATTTATGTTTGGTTTATGCAACTTTGTGTGTTAATTTATAGTGGTGTATATATAATGTTTCAAACCATCTAACTTCATAGGGTTAATACTGTTAATAGTTGATAAGATTATATTTATTAATTTCTATAACATATATAATAACAACATTTATTAGGTTAATTTATCCTATACCTACATAATACACGTGTACCTATATAACTTTTTGCCATGTAAATACCTATTTTTTGTTTTTGTTGTATAGGTCGAATCAAGTAATGATTATAATCTTTTTTCTGATGGAAATTTGAATAAAATATTAATGACAAATGATATAAGTAGTGCCAGTTTCAATTATAACAATTCACACATAGATATTATAGGTAATTAAAAATAATATTATCTTATCAAATAGCTGTGGAAATGTAGAATGGTTTAAATTTTTAATACCTGAATATATTATTGTGAACAAATTGATTTTGTTTTAGAAGAAAAACATTTAATTGTTCAAGCGCCACCACCAAGTGCAAGTTTTGACAAAAATAATAGTGACATAATATCTGTACACAAAGAATTATTAGATATTAATGATAAATTTATTATTCATGACAAAAAAAAAAAAATGAGAAGTACTGTACTAGATTATAGTGTAAAATATCTAAATATAATAAATATAACTAGCTGTCCCGGTAAAAGATCATGTTTTTAATGTTGCATTTCAATTTGAAAACTACATATACATACATTTTTCACTGTTTATTTTTCTAACATTATTTATATTTATTGAAAAAATATATAAACAAATTTTTTGACAAAGGTTGGTTGCTCAATACACAGTCAAATATTAACCAAATATATCATAACGCATTATGTCAAAACAAGAATGATATTCACTTACAAAAGAAAAAAATGAGCAAGGTGCTAAAAACAAAAAAACACCAAAAAAACTAAACAATTTTTCAAAATTAGTTTGAAGTTTATAAGATAACTATTATTGAATAATATTATAATATAAATAATATACCTAATCATAAATTAAATCAATTGATCAATTGATAAAAATACTACACCACTTCAAGTACTTTCTGAAATAAAAAAAACGAACGCATTTCCCAACTTGAATATTGCCTTACGAATTACGTTAACAATTCCGCTTACATCAGCTGGAGCAGAGAGAACATTCTCAAAATTAAAACTTGTAAAAACTTATTTACGAAGTACCATGTCACAACAAAGACTTACTGGACTTGCTACAATTTGTATAGAAAAATAACTTTCAGAACAACTAAATTATGAATATATAATAAATGATTTTGCATCTAAAAAAGCTAGAAAAATTAAAGAATTATAACTGACAACATACTACTTTAACAATTTATTATGTATTTAAAATATAAAGAAAAATAAAAAAAAAATATTGTTAATTGTTCAGCACACTTATTTTTTTTAAACTTCGTTTATAAATATAAGTTATTACTTATCTACTAGTATTTTAACCTTACTTATTAGTTTATTTTCTATGCAAATAATAATATGATTAGGTATACATTTGTCATTGATTGTTTTGATTTTCTTTACATACCTAAATACCTACTCAATGTAAAATAATTGTTGGTTTTAAAATCGATGGACAAAATTATCTTTTGAATTAAATCTTTAATTAATTTGGAATGGGGATGTAATGTATAATATACGAATGAGGGTCCCACATTTTTTACTTGCCCCGGGCCCCGCAAAACCTAGAGCCGGCACTGCGTACATTAAAGTACGTTCAAAGGACCAAGAATAATAACAAGAGACCGAATATTCCCGGACAGTAAAAATCCGGAATAAAATATTATTCAGACCATATTATTGTGTTGGGCCTTATATAATCCTGGAAATTCGAAATATTGGTGAACTGCATCATATTGTCACTTACCTTGGACATCTGGAAAGTATACTCCCAGACCGTATTTCTCCTGGTTTCTCTAGGTCATATTTTGTACTTAATGTGGTAAACAAAGTATACATTTTTTAAATTTTCCAAATGAATGTCAATACAGATTACAATAATTAGAGCTGATATCTCATAACAGATCTTATTGTGGCAGTTTGTAGACATCAGTATGTCACTATTTTAAAAATGCACTATTATGTTGCTAGTGCATTGGGGTCGAATTAAATGACAAAATAATGAAATTGCCAACAAATTATAAGCGATCACGTGACCTTAGGATTGACATAATATTTTAGAGAACAATTTAATGGTAATAACACTTCATATTAAAATAATATAATATATTAAAAAAATGTTATGTAGGTACACCAGTATTGTTATTAATATTATTTCATCTGTGAGTGAGACATACCATCTTCTTCGTCCGTCTCAATATACGACTCACACGTCTCGTATTCATCAGAAATATCAAACATTTTCATCTTATGAAATTGAAAGTCCGCGTGATTGAAATACAATTCTCCTAATGCTTCACTAACTAACCAATTGCACTTTTGTTTATAGTCTTTGAATAATGTTTGAAAATACCGTCTATCGAGTTTCGTCGAATTATATGTATCATTAAATAAATTGAAGAATGATGGATATTCAACGGTTTTGTAGAAAGGAACTTCGATGCCTTCAAGTGTTACATTTTTGATTTGCTGTGTCACATTTTTCCCCTCATTCCAATTAATCTCACAGCCAGTCAGTTTGTACTCAAAGGCGTAGTCTATACCGTACCATTTAACACTATCAAAAATATCGTCTGGAGGGTACTCCTCGAACTTCAAGGTCAGCACATTATTAGTGAACCATTCGTTAGGTGTGAAATGAAATTCTATAGTATATCCTATATACTCTTCCGATCGATTACACCTGATATCTGACAAATGTCTGAAGATTTTCTCGTCATGTGGTAGTATGAAAAATTTGAATTTGTACGAGTTCTTGATGTAATTAAGCCAAAAGTCCGGTATTCCTTTCGGTTCTTGTCTACTCGCCTCTTTTGATTCAAGTCCTATTTTAACTGGTTCATCATCTTCATCAGAACTACTGTATTCGCCTTTGGTAGGCTCGTAGTTTCCTTGAATTATATCAGTTTGCTTATTAATATACGGCTCGTACACTTTTTCATATTTCAATTTAAGAAGATGAACTTCGGCATTGAATCTCAATCCAATTTCATGCTGGGCTAAAATAAGTTTTTTTAGAGCCCGCACGCGCTTTTTTACTTCTGGCGACATATTTGTTAGTTTATTTTTCAAGTGCGTTGTTTGTTTCACCATGATCGCAAAAATAAATTTAACAGAAATTATATTTTATAAAAACAAAATGTTGAATATGTGCAAATGCTTTTTTAAAAACTGTCTATAAAAAAAAAATTGTTAGGTTGCCATCGTCATAAATTACTATAATATTATATCCGTGTATTATTATTTTTATGTGAGAAAATAAAATGAAGAACAGCTGACTACGAGAACGGCTGTCTACAAGCAACCCGTGGAACGGAAAACGCAGGCTATAGTGAAACCGTGGCATAAAAAATGAAGCGCCGCTCCGCTCCGTTTCCCCAGCCCGCCGGCCATGTCCCGTCGATTCCTTACAGCGCGACCAATCGCGTACCTTCGCAGCGGCGGCGGCGGTCGGTTTTAAAACGTTTTTCGTCATCACCTGTTTTCCTATCATTTGAAATTTTCGGAAAATTAGCTGTTTTTATACGATTTCGACCCTTTCCGCCCTCTTTTATACTTAGGTCGAAGCCGCCGGTGTGCGGTTTATATTCGTGCGCCTTCCGCAATGTGCCAATGTCGATCGAAAAATACACTCCCGACCGAACTTTTTTGCCGATTTTTTCCTTTTCTCACACTGTTTCGTCTATTCGCATGCCGTTTGTGCCCGAATCGTGTAGTCGACGTCTTTTTAAAGCCGTTTATTTGCGCTTTTCCCCCGAAATCGGTTCGTTCGCCTCGCAATCGCGTTTAGAAATTACTCCGGCGACCGACCGACCGTACGCGTATATATACATTATACATGTATATACGTGTATAATTTAATTTTTCCCTATGATTTAATAAGTATTAACGGAAAACGCTTTTCAAACGCCCCGTTAAATATATATATACCGTGTGTTCACCAATTTAGGGAACACTGAATTTCTCGGCTGGATTATGTTGGAATAAATCGAATTTTTTTTTTACAAGCTTGTGGTATATAAATACACATTTTCAGATAAATTTCAAATTTTTAAGCCCTTCGGTACGCGCATGCGCAATGCAACTTACTTTTTTTTAATAGCAACAGGTAGTTTTGATACCAAATTCGGATAGAATGAATTTTTTTAAGTCATTTTGACCAGTTGACCCTGGCTATACCATGCTATAGCAGTTGAGTGTTTTTTTTTTTTCAAAAAACGATTTATTTTTAAGTACTGATCATTTGTGTATAAACATCGACATTATTGGACAAACGGAACTTAATAAACTAAACTGATCCAGTAAGGGGTCAAAAGTTGGTGAATGCTTTAGCAGTCATGTCCATCAACGTGTTAACCGCAAAACTATTTTCGAAGATGTGTAGTGCAACACATTACACACAGTTTGTGTTTGTCAACGAACCGAAAGTAGTATTATTATGACACCTAAGTCCCATATAATAAATTGTGTATGCACATAATATAATATTATTTTGTATCGAACACGAAATCGACACTTTCGCGGCCGCCTGCGAATATCTAATAATCTTCACACCGTTTGCACACCAATAGAGTCGGGGGCTCGCTCTGAAACCAGCTCACCTGCTTGGAACGCAATCGTATATGCTCCGAATGTTTTCTGAACACATGGAACGTTGTTGAAATTTAAGTGATTAGATCTTAATAATATTCAGAGAGATTACGAAAACATTCTGGTACCTAGTATAATGAGCATCTCCGCTCAACCGAAAACCTGCCGATCCCTAATGCTCTGTCCAAATTAAGAAATACAATCGGCACTCTGCGGTGACCAGTTTTCGTCGATGGTAGCAGGGCAACACTCTCCTTTTCACCTCCTCTGAGTAAACTAATCTAAATAGCTGCTGCAGTGTATAGTATTATTGCCACATCACTGCGCACAAGTTGGCCGCTGCTTGTTTTCTTAACTCCAATAGAGTATACGATTAGCATCTAAACTAGTACTTAAATATTTAGGGAAATAGTATGTAAGCTGATTTGTTAAATATTCAAAATATTATTTCGAAGAAGCAAAAAGAAATCATTTTGACCACTTTTAGGAGTATTGTGGAGTAGGGATGTATTTTTAAAAGCGGTTGATTTGCCGCCATTTAATTGTGACGTGTAAAACCGTGTAAACTATATTTAGGTACCTATATAGATAATAGTCAGGTTTAGTTATCTTAATAATTTATATTTTATTAAAATAAAATAATAGGCGTGTGAAAATATGTATATGTACACATAAAATAATGTGATATTAGGATTTAAATAATTATTCTTCAAATATAAATGTAATAATTGTGCGGTTAAATGTCAGATGTCACCATACGTATCGTAGGTAATTACACAACACAGTCGCCTGCAGCATTATTATAAGTATATTATACGTAAAACGTATCATCGGTATTTGGACCATAAATCCAGATACTTTTTTTAATATTCAACTGAATTCCTTATTCTGGTATCCCCGGATCGTTGCAGATATGATGAATTATATTCCCAGATATTCAAATAATTTGAATATAAAAAGTATATATTATTTATTTGAATTTTTAATATACATATATCTCAATATCCGGGATCACTCGTTCTGTAGGTATAGTACTCGCACTACTCTGGACAATGTACATGGATAATAATAATATGATAGCGGATGAGAGAGATAGAGAGAGAGCAAGGTTAGGTTAGGTCAGCTTGCTTCTGCGGGTGGGCATACACAAATATTGTGGCGGCTCTTCGAATAGAGCGGTCACAAGAAGGCGATTGTGGTCGTAACCGGACGTGCATACACCGCTGACCAAGTAATTTCATATCCTTCCGGTGTCCTCATCAGAATTTACGACAGAGATTACCACCTATTCGCTACATACCGTTTCAAAGTAACAATGTATCCGGTAGTCGAAGAAAACCACAGTGTTTTTGTGTGTGAATAGTGTGATTGTTTAAACATATAATATAGCGTTCATATTATTCGGATATCCTCTTTCAGCCATTTTTTTTCTTTTTGGAATATCGAATATGCACGCAGTACTTAAATGTTAAATTAACTTCATATTTTTCACCTGTATGTTTGTCTTGAGATAACTGACAAATTCTTATTTTAAATATAACAGTCAATACTAATGAATTTACAACCTGAATTAAATATTTTATACATGAATGACATACATTTTTGTGGGGATAAAATTACTTCATTTTTTTCATTGATTTCAAACTATGCAACTGCGTTAGAAACGGATTTAAACTTAAACATTTACTTACAGGTCATGTCAGTTTTCAAATTGCAAATAAAAATATATAAAACGTAGAGGTTATAAATATGCTGAAATGCTGAATCACATATTATATATTGTTATAATAATTTGTTATATTATACTCGAACAAAACACATTATGTTTTAGAGAAACCATTCGGCTAATTATAAAAGATGTCTGACCTTCAAACTGTTCACCTACACAAGACGACCAAATGAGTAATAGAACCACTGAAGAAAACACAATCTAATTAAACTAAAGTTCCCTTTGAAACTGGAAATCTAATCCTTCTTCGAAGAAAAACTATACGTCAACTCTACGGTTAGGTACTGAAAGTGAATTGAAATTTCAACTTACCTACTTAACTATTGTTGTTCTACCTATATAATGAAAAAAACATCCTAAATGTCTTTCTTATTTCCTCAATAACAGGAATATTATGTATATTCTCATTTCTATCCTCATTAATTAAATTCTTTAAGTTTCTGAAATTTAAATAATAAGCTTTTCACGTTCCTTAATTTATTTTAGATTCTGAACGGATCGATCAATGTATTGATTTCTAATATTATACTGATTATTTATACACGTTGAGTAGTCAAAAAAATATTATACATTTCAACTTTGAAGGTGGTTAATTATAAAAAATTGTAAAAATTGGTAAAATTGAAAATTCAAAGTTCTTTTCTAAATACAAAAACAAATTAAGGAAAAACGAAAATTAATACCCAAAACCAGTTTTTAGCGAAATCACATTTTTGATACACCCGACTCAAAAAACTGTAGATTCTTGAAATTTGTTACTAAATGCTTATATTAGTATTTCCTGTAAATGATAACATTTTCAACATATTTTGACTCGTTTGAGATATTTATAGACATTTATATAATATATTTATTTTTTTTTTCCTCATAAGATAGAATTCAAAATATGTCAAAAATACAAAGTCACAAATTTTTTTTTTAATCATTTGAAGTTTATAATTCGACGAAATCATGAAAGAATTTAAATTTTAAAACAGGGTTTCTCATAACTAATCCATACCAAAAAAAGTAAAACATATTGCTTAAACACTTTTTTTTTTTAAAGGAAAGTTCAAATTTTTCCAAAATTAGATATTTAAATTTCAAACTATAAGAATAACAATTTTAGTTATGTTGCTGTAATTTAAAAAACATTATTCGTGGGTACTTGAAACTTTTGAAGTTTATTATAATATTTTGTACACACAATGACATTTTAAAATGCTATAGTGTTTTTTCCAAAATTAATTCAATCTACTCTGTAGACTGTAATAGAAAAATAAATTACTTCAATAATATTATTGTAAGGTGACAGACCGACTTCACTCAGAATGGATTTTCGTATGCAATGATTTATCAAATAAAATTTAAATTTAACACATCCATTACATTGACCGAGTGGGTTAGGTTAGGTTAGTGGACATCTACAACTATACAGCAGAGCGTTACCCACTTGTTCACCTTTTTATTTACTACACATTTTCTACTTAACTCTTCAAATTATTTTATAGAACAATACAATTATTAACTTTAAATACATGTGTATGAAGTATAATATTACTATTCTGTTATCATGTTTACAGGTTTACTGTTTAATTACTCCCAAGTTTAATCTATATATTCTTGTCGTTGGCAATAAACCGCCCTTTCGTTGTACTTCAGTATTTGATCGTTGTACACATGCAAATAATCGGAAGTAAAATATTGATATAAATGGAATATAAAGTAACCAAGCTAATATAATGAATGATAATAATTTATGGCCAGCTTTTATAAAAAGGCATACGGTCACGGG